GACCAAAAGGGGGGAGGAAGCGAACCAGGGAACTTGAAGCCAGAGATCACGACATCGGGAGCTCCGCAGATGTTCCACACTACCGTCTGCACCGGCACCGAGCCCAGGTCGACGAAGAAGTTGGACAGCGACACAACTTCCTCAGCGCTTGCCACGACAACGTTGATCACAACCGATTGGAGCTTGAGAGCCCCGATGCCCACCAGCTGCATGCTGGTGGCAGTGGCCAAGTCGCTCGTCTGCACCCTGAAGGTCTGCCAGCAGAGAGGGCGTGAGTGCGTGTGCGTGTGCGTGTGCGTGCGGTAGTGTGTGGTGGTTGTTTCTGCGAACCTGGTTGAGCTGATTGACGGCGCCAGTGAGCGTGATGGCGCCCCAAGGGGTGACCTGCACGGTGCCGCTGGGCGTGTTGTTGCACAGGCGCTGGCTCGTTGTGCTCAGCTTGGCCTCCGCCAGCGCAAAGCTGATGCCGCTCAGCGCTTGCACATTGCCCACCTGATTGTTGGTTGTCGCTCGATTACCAACAGCACGACACGCACACTCTGCACAGAGGCCCCCAAAGAAAGCCACGGCAAGACGTACAGTGAGGCCGGCGGAGCCGACGAACGAGGGAAGGCTCACAATGTTGGCGGTGGTCGACGCCAGCAAACCTCCGCATGACAGTTGGCTGTTGGTCACGTCCACCACGCCGCTGCCCTCGACCACCACCCCGTAGTCCTCGTCATCGCACACCTGCGGCTGGCCGTTGTTGATGTCGAAGCTGCTGAGGCGCAGGCCACCGCGCACGGCGAGCGCGCTGCCGGTGGCGCCATTGGACACGTCCAAGGCTGCGGGGTTGGGCGAAGCTGCGGCCGAGCCAAGAACGAAGGCCGAGAAGCCGCCTCCCAACAGGGCCGGCTGGCACGGGGGCACCCACGGCGAAGGGCTGGGCGACTGGGTGGGCGATGCGGAGGGCGAACTGGTCGCGGTCGGGCTTGACGTCGGGGAGCTGGTGGGCGACCGGGTGGGCGACCCGGTGGGGGTCACGCTCGACGAGGGGGAGCTGGTGGGCGACCTGGGTGGGCGACCGGGTGGGCGTGGCCGTGGGAGTCCGGCTGGGCGTCACCGAGGGCGTGAGCGAAGCGGCGGGCGACCGGGTCGGGGTCACGCTCGACATCGGGGAGCTGGTGGGCGAGCGGGTGGGCGTCACGGAGGGTGTTAGGCTGGGCGTCGCCGAGGCTGTGGGCGAGGCGGTGGGCGACTGAGTCGGAGTCACGCTCGAGGTCGGAGAGCTGGTGGGCGACCGGGTGGGCGTCACAGAGGGCGTCCCGCTGGGCGTCAGAGAGGGCGTTGGGGTGGCGCTGCTCGTCGGGGAACGGGTGGGCGACGAGGTGGGGGACTGAGTCGGTGACTGAGTGGGTGACGATGTGGAGGTGGGCGTCGGAGAGCCGCTCGGCGATGCCGGCAAGCGCGAGGGCGACGGCGAGTTCGTGGGGGTGCGCGAGGGCGAGCTCGTGGGGGTGCGCGAGGGCGAGGGAAAGGGCGACGGGCAAGGAACTGTGGGGGAGGGAGTGATAGTTGCGACGATCAACACATC